TTTTTTTCTCAGCTTTTCTACTTAGTAGCTGTATCTTTGGACGAGTTAATTAAATGTCTCTAAGCCTCATTTGTAAAACAGAAAAGAAATTGGGAAAAATGGCTTTGGGATGCGTAAACTCAGAGTAGAAAACTGAAGATATATGGATGTCTTGGTATTTGGAGAGAAAGTGTGTGTGCTCAGCATCTGAGCTTTCCATGTTTGAAGAAAAAGACACTGTTAATCTTGAGGAGCAGGCAGAACCCCTCAACTCCCATAACTGAAGACGTAACAGTCAGATATTCACTCTCCCCCACCTCCTCACCTGGCAGCTAGAACTCTGGAACACGAACCAAGCCAGCCAACTGGAGATTCCCACCTAAGGACCTTGAACTAGAGCTCTTAAAGCAGGGAGACTTCAGAATTCATTTAGCAGCGGTGGCATCAATGCCCAGTGTCCTAGGTCTTCTACCCAGATTCTTCCTTAGACATGAACAGCATCTTCTAAAGCTGTTCTTCTGCCTTCTCATTGAGTCTGAGCTACTGGATATCCTTCCAGTAAATTCCTTTTTCTAGATAAGTTAGTGTCAGCAACCAAGAATCTTCATTATCTCTCCTTAGTTTAAGGAATCACAGTCCTCCAGACATACAGTGCTGGTACACTGTACACACTCAGCAGCGTTGTTGAACGAGTCAATGCAAGGGACCTTCAAGATGGTACACCATTTTTAAATTGTGCTTCACAGAGGTATCCATAGGATTCTAGTATAACACATTTTTAAAAATTTTGGATTTCATTTTGATGGGGTTTTCTACTAATTAAATAAGCATATTGTATTTTATCTGAATGAGGATGATTTTGTTTATGATTGTGCTGGCAACTTGTGATCTTCTAAAAGGGACAATATTTAACTTTTAAAGCATTATTTCTGAATCTAGGGGGCTGGGAACAAATTCTTGAAAATGTTTAGGGAATCTCAGATTTGAAAACACTGACCTAGGGTACCTTGTCTCCATTTTACAGATGTGGAAAGTTAGTCCTGTAGAAGGAAAGTGATTCTTTTAAGGTGATATATTGGTGAGTGTATTTTTCAGCTCTGCGAACCCTCATCACTACTGCCTAGGCTCACACGAGGATTCCTTTGGGTCTGGCTGGCAGAGCTCTCTACCCCCAGATGGCAGGGCAGAACCCGTTTCTGCACATTCCTGGCAATGCCAGACTCTTGGTTTTCTGATATCTCTTTAGAAGTGCAGCAATCAAGTTACCTGAGCATATTGATGCCTCTCTTCTCATAACCTCAAAGGCATTTAATATTTGGGTGCGCAATTGTCTTCACCTCACATTTTACAGCCAAGCAACCAAGTGGATACTCTAATAACCACTTTTTCTCTTTTTGGCCTTGGAGTCTCCTCCAACCTTGGATCTGCTATAGGCAACTTAAACCTCTTATCTCTCTCTATAAAATACATATATAGGTATTTTTTATCATTTACAACAAGAGCCTCTGTTCCACCAGGCTTGTGTAAAAAGTGGTTAATTAACTATACAAAGATTGAACAAGGCTCAGACCTTCCTCATGATGGGTTTTTGAAGCTTTATTCCTCATATTTAATTGGCTGTGGAGTTCAGGGAGAGGAATACTGGTCTTATCTTTAACACCTAAGGCTCCACTTGGCACTTGGCTGGCTTAGGGAGGCAGGGCTGGCTTGAATTGGAAGGACAAGGATCAGGGTGACCATGAAATTGTCTTGGTTTTCCCCATATTAAATGGCAAATAGGGCACTTGAAGTCTCACATTAGCCCCTGCCTTCTCTGCCTTTCTTGGCTCTGCTCATGAATATTTCACGGATGCCCATTCCTTCTAATGCAGGTGGCTCTGCATGGCATCCTCACACCACATCCTAAAGATTTTGGCTCCAGTCATTGGGATCTCACCCAATAGTCACATGCTTTCTGAATGTCATTTGGTGATTCCTGTTCTGAAACTCAAATCAGGCAGGATCTCAGATCTGTTCTGTATCTTAGATACAAGAGTGGGACTGGGGCTAGATTCCATTTGGGATGAAAGTGGAATCAAGTCAGGCCAACGTCTTTGAAAAAAGGTCTTTTATTCTTTTCCTACAATTAAAGACATGGTTTGCTTACCATTTTCCCTGCGGCATCTGATGGAAATCTGGCCCTTAGTGAAAATTGCCGAATGGGGTGCAGCCGAAGACAGGAAGACTAGGGCGGGTTGAAGGAGAAATAGTTTTGGGTTAAGCTCTACACAGTTGAGCCATATACATGACAATTAAATACAATATGTTCGTATCTTCAAAGTCTAGTCCTGACCTCTTATTTCATGAGGACCAATATTCTTGTTCTACCCAAACCTTAAGACTTCAATGCTGAGAGTTTGACTCTCACTCAGATTGATCTAGACATCCAAATGCCTTCAAGCTCAAAATCAGTTCTTACTTTGTCTCTGAACCCCTTTCCTGAGCATATTGATCTCTCTCTTCTCATAGCCTCAAACACATTCAATATTTGGGTGCTCAGTTGTCTCCACCTCATATTTGGCAAACGTCTATTCAGTTTCGGACTGTTCATTAACTTCGGGTGGAAGTGTGCTTTATTTGCTCCATGAAGGCAGCGGCTGAATAATATTCCCACCATCCCTTCTCTAGAAGATTGCAAATGATTGGTATTTATCCATTTATGCTTCAAGTACATTGTGAGTAAACTACTGTGACACTGGACACTGGAATAAGCAGAATTTAAAGCCCTATAAACTGGAAGGTCAGTGCTGAGGCAACAACCTTTTCAGAGCCTAAAAAGACCCAAAAAATGCATCATCAGCATCCCATTCTACCAGCTCATCAATGCCTGGATACAGGGACAGATCTAGTAAGGAAAAGAGATGGGTCCAATGATTCTTGGAATGAATGATCTGGCCAAAAAGTTAGTCTTGGGAAACCACCAGCAGTGCATGGTACAATTCTCATATTAAAACTTTAAACCCTCTGTGACATCTGAATTTCTGGCCATTTGGGGACAATGAAAGACTTTGAAGGGAAGCAGAACAAGCCCAGGAACCACCTATCATCTTGACAAGTAAGACGTGCCCTAGGAGAGACGATCAATGAACTTTTTGGATTGGACTTCCTACCTCTAAAGCAGAGCCAATACCAGCAGACTAGAAGGTGGGGGTTAGGTGTGTGTCTCCAACGTGACAGCTCAGGCAAAAACATGCACCGCTGGACACAAGGCTGGGAGGCCGCAGGGCGGGGTGCGGTCTTCCCTCCTCCCCTCCCGCATGCTTACTTGTTGGGGGAAGCTGGGCCTGACACTGATGCACTGACTGTTCTGTCGAGTGAGAATCCGTTTCCGTCTCCTCTGCCTCAGTACCACGTAGATCCTGGCATAGACAAGGACAGTCACTCCAAAGGGCAGGTAGAAGGACACCACTGATGAGTAGATGACAAAATCAGGGTTGGAGATGGAGCAGACACTGGGGTCTCCTGTGAGGGAGAGAAAAGGAGATAGCGAAGTAGTTTGCTAAATGTGAGACCTCAGTGGGGAGCACAAAATATGGCCCGAAACCACACATGATGTCTCCACTGTCTAATCCACACAGAGCTTTGAGAAGCAAGGATTCCTGGTCCCACCTACGCCTTCATCGTGTCCCAGTTCACAGGCTGCCTCATCCATGGAGGCTTGTTTGAGTTTCTCATTCAGAAGCAGCCCTTTTCTTTTGCCTCTTTTTACAGGTAGCACACACATCCTGATGGTTCAGTTGTGAGGGTGGGGGAATGCGATCTGACACCTGCACTGTCAGCTCGCTGAGGGTAGGAGGTCTCATTCAGCTTTGTGATGCTCACAGTTCACTTAAACAGAGAATTGACCAGCCCTGGCTGGCATGGCTCAGTAGTTAGAGCATCGGCCTGCGCAGCGAAGGGCCTGGGTTTCGATTCCTGGTCAAGGGCAAGTACCTGGGTTGTAGATTCACTCTCCTCCCTGCCACCACCCCCCCCCCCCCNATTCAGAGACATAGATTGAATTATCCATTGTGTGACTTTGGCTAATTAATTGACCTCTCTGATTCTCAATTTCCTCACAATAAAATGGGGATAATAATATTACTTACATGACAGCAGTGGCTGTTAAAATTAAAATAGATAGTACTTAGAACAAGTACTTTACTTTCAGGAAATGTTAAACTAAATTAAGATACCATTGTGTCGCTTTTGTTATTTCTACTGTTGCTGTTGTGTTATCATTAGGACTAGAAGGAAAATTATACTATACCAAAGTAAACACACATCAATTAGCAAAGTCTGGGATACAGAAAGCACTCGATAGATAATTATTTATTGCTGTTTTTGTTTTCATAAAATTCAAAATGCTTAGCACTGAATGTGCTAAGTATTCAATAAAGTCAGTTTCCTTTTGTGTTTCTTTGCAACGTATAGATATCTGTGGGAAGCTGTGTGGCCTATTGCAGAGTGCCATCACCTTTTATGCCAAATAGACCTAAGTCTCTGTCACTCCTTTGCTAATTCCCATCTATGCGCCTTGTTCAGTGTAGTAATAAACACTTGAAGGAAACATTCTGGAAGACTTTGAAATTGCCAAAATGGGTGTCGTCAATAAATTAAAACACTAAATAAAAAATAAATAGGTGTTGCTCTGGCCAGGTGGCTCAGTTCGTTGGAGCATCAACCTGTACACCAGAGGACTGTGGGTTTGCCCCCCGGTGGGGCACATGCAGGAGGCAACTGTCAATGTGTCTCTCTCACATCAGTGTTTCTCAATCTCTGTCTCTCCCCCTCCCTCCTTCCCTTCCACACTCTCTGAAAAGCAATGGGGGGAAAAAAAATCCTCAGGTAAGGATTAACAACAAAAAAGGAAAATTTCCTAATGATTACATGCCAGATACTGGGGCTGCAAAGAGGCATGACACCACGTCTGCCCTTGAAGGAGCTCACAGTCTAGACAGACAGATGACCGCTTCCACATGCTGAGCTAAGTGCCGCAGAGGAGTGCAGCCCTGGAGGCTGGGCGAGGGTCACTGAGCGCAGGCCGGAGGCTTGCTGGGGGAGGCAGCCCTGCAATGGGGCCCGCTGAGCCGAGCCTGCGAGGGCTGCTGAGTGCGCTGGGTGGAGGACACCTTCTTTGCTGAGAGCGCCAGGTCTCCATACTGAATCCGGGATATGGGCAGGCGGTGGCTGAATATGAGACAGGCATTTGATTTTTCAAGGAATTCCAGCAACAGTTGGGGGGAGATGGGAAGAGGGCCAGTAAGGATATTGTCATTGTGGACAATGTGCTCTATGTCCTGGAGTGCTCTTGCCACTCCTTAGGAGGGCCTTGTTGCTGTGTCTTGTCACTAGCAGATGCTGAGTTTCCGCCAATGCCCAGGAGAGGGCGTGGTAACTTGTCCCTCTTAAAAGAGAAATGGGAAGCAAACTAATATCTTCTAGGGGATATGCCAAGGGCTTTATGTACATTATCCTACCTGACCGTTCTGGCAACATTATGTGACACAGGTGCCATTGCTGACTCTATTCTCAGATGAGCAGACTAAGTAGGGCTCAGGGAAGTTTAGTAAGTGGCCCAACATCACACAGCCTGAAAGGGGTGGAGCCCGGATACGTTCCTCCAGCCGCTCTGACCCCAAAACCAATGTTCTTGCTGTGATTTTAACACCCCACCTCCCTCGACCAGTGGGACGTGGCACATTTGTGCTTTGTTCAGCGCTGTCCGCAACAGCTGTTGGGACACCTGACCAATCTTCATAGAGTTGCGGGATTTTCCAACCCAAAATCTAGCCTCAGAAGATGTAGACTCAGGTGTGAGCCGGTGGGGAGAGGGCAGCGGCCACCAGGCCCCTCATTCTGCTTCTCGGTCTCTGAGGCAGAGGCCAGGCAGCCCGAGGACTGAGACCCGGGGTGCCGTTTATTGACTGTGTGATCTTGGGCAAATTACTTAACTAGGCCAAGCCTCAGTTTCATTATCTACGAAAAAGGGATAAAAATGTCATGTCGTGTCGTGTTGAGGAAATGAGAATAAATGGCAGCTGTTATTATTATCTATTCTTTACTATTATTATTTAACTTTTACCTCCTCTGAGCTTTTTGAACTGAAAAGGGATGGTGTATATCATTTGGAATGGACATTTGGGGAGAGGCTTACAGGGAACAATATTTGTGGGGGAAGGAAGGTTGTAACAGCTAAGAATGAAAACAAAAGTGCTCAGCGCTCTGTGAGGACTTTAACGACAGCACTGCCACCAGAATCCTCATGAGCTACTCCAAGACTCTCTTGTTCTCTTGGGGAGGGGATAAAATTCAGGTCAAATTAACATCATCCTACCAAAGCCAGAGTCAGCATCCTTCAGGAAACGGCCCCGTAAAGCTTTGAGCAGTGGCCACAAATTGGCATTTTCCGGTCCCTGAGGGGGGCGGGGTTAGAGGTAGGAATAGGGTGGCAGTGGGTGGTCTTTCCGAATCTTTAAGTAGCCATGCTGGCACTGGTTACCCTCCCCTGGAGTCAGCTCCCCTGTCATCAGCTTCTGGCTGTGATTTCAGGGCCTTCTATCCTGCCTATTCTTCTCTACCCTTCTCTGGGTTCTGGGGGGCTGACCTCTAAATTCTACATATTAAATACTACTTTTAAAAAGCCAGGAGCAAAAGTGGGTATAGTATGTTTCTATTTGTGTAAAAATGGATATACACACACACACAAACGTGTGTGCCTGCATGCATGCCCCAGTGTACGTACTTGTTTCAAGCATCATTTTTGAATATTAGTGTTTGCTTCCAGGGAGTGGGAAGGAGGAATTAGCAATCAGGGTAGAGGAGAGCGACATATAAGTATGTATATGTCTCCCATTACACCTCATGTTTTATCATGTGCAAATACTTATTTTTCCAGTAAAAATATTGAAAGCATATGTATGAGAAGCAGAGAGCGAAGAGAGACCACATGGTGACTTCAGGATCACTGATCAATGAAGGCCCTTCTATATAATCACTGAACCTACATTGTCATCCTGTCATTTCCCCCCTAAGAAATTGCTGCCTGTCCTTACACCACATTTTCCAGCCTCTCCCAGAATCCTGTGAGGACTGTCAGCTGGCAGAGTGACAGGAGGCAAGTGGCCCAGTGAGTGGGGCCCTGCTCCTGTCCCCACTAGGTCTGACCGGGGTGTATGTCCTGTTTGCAGGGCAGAGTGAACCCCACCACACCAGCAATTCTGGAAGCTTCTTTCTACTGAGTCCCGAGGAGGTGAGGGCAGTGAGATCCCCACAGGAGCCGAGGCTTCCCCAGGAGATAAGGTACCTTGTCTTAATTATTTAACTGAAATGGTGCAGTGCTGTCAGCCCAATAGCTATTGAGACAATAGATGGATGATGAATAGATGAGCAAAGAAGACAAATGAGCATTTTACATAAACACATAAACAGTCACTGATTGAAAGATAATGGGGAAGGCCGGGGGGGTTACTCATTCTCTGAGACTGAGATGTTTATCCCAACTAATCTCAACATTTGAGGAGGACTCGTCTACTTACTCGACACAATTTTATGGAGCACCTACTGTGTTCAAGGCACTGTGTGGGGTGATAAAGACACTCACTAGCTCTGCTAGGGAGCCTAAGAGGCTTTTGTGGGCTGGCCTGGCACCTTGATCCCACAGTGATGTGAACTGCAAGGCCAGAAGCGGGTTGACTCGAGAGAGAATGAATTTCAAGCTCATTGAAGAATTTGTCCTCAACTTGTTCGGCAGTACAGGAGACCCTGATAAATTTGATTTTAGAATGAGCTTATTCTTTTAACTTTGTGCTTTTCAACCAAGATCCCCCCAGCTCCAGGGTTCAGAAGGCCAGTGAGGTGTTCTATTGATAAAATCAAATAAATAGCACTCCTCCATTTCTTTGTTTCGAAGGAAAGTTAACCAGCTGATAGGATTTTCTGAGCTTTAAGTTTTTCCTCCCTTGAAGATTTCTTACACCTTCGTCACCAGCTATTGCTTATTCACTCTAGAATTTTTAAATAATACAATAGCTATCTGATTTAGCAAAAATTGAAATACTTGTTATTTTTCTTATCTGTGAAATGAAAAGAACGGGCTGTTCATTCAGGGATCTTCAAGGTTTTCTCTAGCACCAACACTCCATGCTCCACTGCTGTTAGGGGCTGTTGATAGTGTGGTATTTGGCCAGACTTCCGGGCTTCTGCTGGGAGCCGGGGCAACACTGGGCAGCCAGGCCTCACAGCCTTGAAACTCTCTGGGACCTAAGACCCTGCCTTAGGTGTGCACCCAGAAATACATGTGGCCTTTCCTCAGTCAACTCCAAGTTGAAAGAAACTGAGGTTCAACTTTTCACAACCTCATGTTCCCTGACAATTCACAATCCCAGTGGCAATCCATTTCATAAAAAAAAACACCTCTGTCAGAATGTTCTTTTGTTTTGCACTTCTTAGTGAAAGTTTATTGACTTCCAATATCAGATGCTGTTGGCGGTATCCTGCCCCCTTCTCTGCTTTTCACAGAAAAACATGGCTGAGAGAAGTCACTTATATTGTGCTTTTCAATGGACTTGGGAACTTCTGTACAGATGGAAGAGATGCTGGAGGAACCCACATCTATCAAGATAATGATACTGTGAAGGTCAGACTGAGGCAGAGAAGGACACTGGGTGTGTCCGTCTTGAGTTCTGCTCATTAATCCCTGAACAGAGTTCTCAGACGAGACAACTGGTCTCCTCTATGACCAGCAGAACTACAACTGTTTAGATTTTCCTTGGAGCAGGTGCGTAGTTATATTTTAAGGCACAGAAACCTTTCCTAAAACATAACAACAACAATAACAACACCACTACCACCATTGGTTAATGTCTACTATGCTCTTCTATCGGACCTGACACTTTGACACAATATATGAACAGTGGAAGGCTTTCCAACAGCCTTACTGGTAAACTTAAAGGAGAGAGAGAGAAATTTCTAGAGAAGTGAGAGTGTACACACTAAGTCATAGGCCTTCTTTGCCGTCTCAATTCTATATTTGAAAACCCTTGTGGAAAGATTTTTCTGAGTTTTGTTTCTGGAACAACAATGATCTCACTGGCGGCAACAGCCCTGCAATGAGCTCATCATTCTTCACTTTAGATGTCGACATTAACTGGGACCTCTAATGTCAGATTTTGAGACAGTTTGAATTCTTAGCAGAGTGTGTGTGTCTGTGTGTGAGAGTAAGACCCCTCCGCCAGCCTCCAAGGCTATGAAAGAGGGCCCACCTAGTCCTGCAAACGTTGGTGGGGCCTTGCGGCTGGCAGGGGGTTAAACAATGCCTCTGTCCAGCAGAGGTAGTGAGTGCCCCATACTATAAATACTAACTTAGAATGCATTTTGGTATAGAAACAAGGATATAGGAGGTGGCTTAGTTATCAGACGTACCCCAAAAGCATACTTAGCACTCATCAAAACTGGTACTTTAGTGCCAGGAAGTCTCTATCATCGTGTTGGGGAATGTTACTTTGGGGGGGGGGGTGTACATACATACATGTGTGTATAAAGTGTCACTTAGTGAAAATAACAAAGTAACTCATGGTAAAGAGTAATGCAAAGATGATAATAACATCCTACTTTAGGAATACCCTGAGTTAACCACTAAGTATTTGTTGGATAACTTGGCTACTTAACCTTGAACGTGGCAGAGAAACAAGCCTGGCCTTGAACAGTTGGCAGGTACTGGCACGTCTAAGTATGTTATCCCAATTTAATTCTTATTTAATTGTAAAAAAGTCTATGATGGAGGTAAAGTGGAATTATATCATATGTAGGGTTAAATTCTAAAGTCAATGAATGAGTAAAGTAAAAATTACAGAGTTGAAATTTGCTTTGAAAAATCCCCTGAATCACATATAAAGATATACATATTTGATTACAGCTCTGAAGAGTAATAGATGAATGATACATACAGCAATGTGTCTAACATTATAAAGAGTTCAAACGCAACATGTAATTTTAGAAGTGACGTTCCCACGCTTATTTGCAGGGAGTCATATATAAAAACAAATATTGAAAACTTCCTAACTGAATATATAGACTGAATCTACATATTTGAATTTACTCAAGTTTATGCTCCACTATATTATTATCCCCAATTTATCAATAAGAAAACTTAACTTAGAGAAGTTAAGTAACTTATTCCAGGAGACACAGCTGGTAAGCAGTAGAATTGGAGTTTGAATCTAGGTTGTTCTGACAGCCTCTGTCTATCTTCCTAAATGTGTTTTGACTTTTAAATCGTCCAGCAAATGACTCTTTGAAGACCGTAATTTAGAATTTGTCTGTATTTATATGTAATGTAACATAAACACACAGCTAGCTATGTGACTGTAAATATATACTAGAAATCCATGAACTTGGAACATAGTAGAAATTGAATGAACCAATTCAAATGGACAAAACAAGAGATCCAAATTAACACTAGAACAAGAATCCATTAGTTCTCTCTTAGCAAAGACTCAGTATTTATTGCCAATACCGATAACTTTCTACATGTGATAATAGTTTTCATTCAACACATGAAATTTCTGAGGCCCAAAGATGGACACAGAACAGACACAGAGGGCATTTATCCATATAAGGTGTACAATTGGATTGGTGTCTTATGTCTAAAATCCCAAGTATCTCAGATATACACATTGTTCATCCATCCAATAGAAGATGTACCATGTGCCAAACATCATGGCCAGAATTTTTGTATGTTGAAATATAAGAAACATAGCCACCAATAACTCAGAAATGTATACTAGTTCCCAAATGCTAGAAATGATTCTTCCTGAGAAAAAGTTAGAAATGTATATCCTACTTGAAGGCTTAATGATATGTTACTTTGCATTGTAAGTCAATTATGAATTGTAATCTTTTCATTAGCAAATCTCACCTAAATTATTAATATGGTTTAGTTTTTTAACTGGAACATTTCTTCAAATGAATACAATGACAATTCTTTCAAAATAAGAATAAGCCAGATTTTTCATTGATTGGGGCAGAACTTTATCCCTGTGCCAATAATCAACGAAGTTTGCTTTATATTTTACTATAATCAACAAAGGAGGTCAAAGCGTTGCAGTCTATAGCATCTTCATTTGATTACAAACTACACTGACCAGGGGCTGAGCATCACTTGTAGCCTTTCACGTGTGCTCTGAGTCACATGGGTTTGGGAAGTGGGGCCATTATTTTACCTGTGGTGTTAAAGCCGAAGAGGAGAGGGCAAGACACGGCAAAGGCCAGTACCCAGACGGCTGTGATCATGAGGGCCACACGCCGACAGGAGCTCTGTCCCGTGCCGTGTTGGTAGTGAACTGGCATGACCACTGCAGTGTACCTGTAAAAGAAAGGAGAGAGAGGATAGCCATGGTCAGAAGGGGCAGGAGAGACCAGTTGAAGGAGGTTCTAGGGAAATAATCAGGCTGATAAATGTGGCCAGAGAAAAATAATTTTGATGGAGAAAGAGAGAAAAGGTGAAAATAGTGGAAAGGTTGAGATAAGCTAGATGAAGAACTCACTGAGGGGAGTGATCAGAGGAAGGGAGAAAGAATAAAGAAGTTAGCATAGCAGCATTGGGTCGCTGGAGAGCTTTACAGGTCTTGACTGATGGCCCAGCATATCCGAGCCCTGGATTTACCACCCTGAACCCTGAACGCTCTGGGTGCTGGTGTGTGCTTTATTTTCTCCCACAGTCCTTCAGATAATGACAGAACTGTGCCCAAAGTAGATGTTTATCCCAGCTTGTATTCTAATATAAATTCTAACTCTCACAGTGACAACTATTCCAAATAACAGAGATATTGAAAATAGAGATGAGTACTATCCAATGAAGTAAAATCCAGTTTTCATGCTGACTTAGTCTGTTTGGACGGCTATATAAAAAAATACCATAGACTAGTTGGCTTAAACAACAAATCTATTTTTTTATAGCTCAGAAGGCTGGGAAGTCCAAGATGAAGGCACTGGAAGAATCAGTATCTGGTGAGGACCCCCTTCCTGGTTCATGGACAGCTGTCTCCTCACTGTGTCTTCACGTGGTGGAAGGGGTGAGGGAGCTTGATGGGGCCTCTTTTATAAGGGCACTAATATCAGTCATGAGGTCTGTACCCTCATGACCTAATCAGCACTCAAAGCTCCCACGCCCTAATACGATCACTTTGGGGCTTAGGATTTCAACATATGAATTTGAGGGGGACACAAACCTTCGGTCTATAACACCTGCTTTTACATGGTCAAAGCAGTTCTTTATTCTTGTTGGACATTGTTGTCTTTTCTGTGGCAACTCCTCACACACATTTCCAGCTGCATGTTGAACTACCTGGACATTTGTTCCATAGTTATCTCAAGCTCAAGTTATCTAAAATAGATTTGCCTATCTCTCGGAATTCCTTAATCTGGTCCCACTTCCTGCCCTTCTTCAAGACATCTAGACCCAATACTCAGGCCTTTGGGCTCTCCCTTGACTTGCCCATATAATTTTCTCACTCATTCATTTAACCTTTCATTCAATGTTTATTGAGTTCCTATCATATGCCAGACCCTATTCTGGAAATATAGAGATGTGGAAATGGGGCATTGTCCCTGTCCTTATAGAACTTGGAAATGAGTGGAGTGGATGGACCAAAAAAATGTTAGTATACAGTGAAGAGTATTATGGGCGATATGTTTGAGGATAATGGCAGCTATAAAGAAGGGGTGAACCAACATAGACCGGCAGGGAAATGAGAGGAGTAAGAGGGACTCAGCCATGGCTTAAGATAGGAGAAAAACATTTCAGACAGAAGGACCAAGGTCCTGCAAGTTTACCCATTATGATATCCCTGTAGAATCTCCTCTCATTAAATGTAGACTGAACATGTAAATATGGTATTTTCTTGTGATTAGATTATGAATCAAGAGACTGAAGTGGTCAAAAGGGAGATTATCCTCAGTGGGCCTGGCCTGATCAGGTAAGTCCTTAAAAAGGACCGGGCCCTTCCTTAATTCAGAGAGATTCTAAAAGCCAGAGAACTTACCCTGCGGGCTGCGAAGGAGCCAACTGTCATGTTTTGGAAAAGGTCATTTGGCAGGGAATGGCGAAGGACCTACAGGAGCTGAGAACAGCTCTTGGTTGAGAACCACCAAGAAAGTGGGGACCTCAGAGCTACAACTGCAGGGAAGCTGAGTTCTAGTGACAACCTGAATGAGTTTGGAAGGCGACCCCAGTCCCAGATGCGAACACAACCCAGCCTACACCTTGGTGTCAGCCTTATGAGACCCTAAGCAGAGAACTTACCTGTGCTATGCACAGACTTCTGACCTACAGAAACTGTGAGATAAAAAAAAGGTATAATTTAAGCCACTACATTTGCGATCATTTGTTCCACAGCAGCAGAAGAGACTGGTGTCTTTGTTCAATCATTATTCCTTCTCCTTGCCTGGGGAGCTGCTTCCTGACCAGCTCCCCAGCAACCTTCCTAGCCCTCTTTGACTTGCAGGGACCTCTAACTTGGAGCACTCTTATGCCAGTCAGTCATGTTGCTCCTCTGCATGCTCCTGTCTTGCCTTATTACTGAACTTGTCTCATGGCTGGCGATCCCCACATGATTTAAGTTACTTGATGGCTCAAATAATCTTATAGCCTTGATATTCCTCATAGGTCCTTGCACAAAGCGAGTAGTAAGGAGCTATTGATTGACTGCCTCACAGATCCTGAAGGCCTCCTTCTCGATAAAAGAACAATTCTAATCTTAACCAGGCGCAAGGGACCTAATGTGTATAGCCGGGTCTACATAGATGCATTTTTTTCTTTATTTTCTCAGGGAACCTGGAGGCAAGATTGAGACAGGAGGTGCACAGAAGGGCTAAGCAGAAGCCTCCTTAGCCCCTCTGTGAACCTCAAGGCTTGGGGCTGAGGAAGGGAAGGACAGACCCCTGGGCGGAGGGCTGGGATGGTGCTCCCTGATGCTCCTCCTATACGTGCCAGCTCTGCCTGAATCACCTGCCTCTTGTGCATCTGGCCTTAGAGTTCATGTGTCAATATTTGTATTCCCCAAAAGGCAGCTTGAGAGTCAGCTCTGAGGGCTGAGATGGAGGCAGACTCAGCGGGGCTTGACCTTGGCACCACGATGTGTGACAGAGGTGGCTTCTTTCTCAAGAGGGAGAAATGGAGGCCCTTATTTAAAAAGGTCAAATGAAGAGCCCACCACTAACCCTAAGGATGGCCCAGGACAAACCCAGTTCCCTTCTGATGTACACACATTGCAAATCTTCCCTTGAATTCCTAAATGATGATGAAGGAGCAGGGCAAGTAACACCTGGCATTCCTCCAGGCCTTTTACTCCCCTCAGGACTTCAGACCCTCCTGGGGCAGTGAGCTGTGGTTTCAAGTCAAATATGTCTACCTGGGTCTGGCCCTTAGCACTGATCCCTGAGGCACCTTGGAGAAGAGACTGAGCCTTGGGCCCTGCAGATGTCAGAGCCAAACAGCTGTCAGGGTTGGGAAGGAAAGATATGACCCACTTCCTCCTGGCCAGATCTGGGCCCAGGCCTTCCATTTACATAATGTCCTTTGATGTAAAAGCCTGACCATCCCATACATTCAGTGGTGTGCTGTTAAATAGCTAGCAACTGGCCCTCTGGGTAAAGAAAGCCATAGTTTTTGCCATTTTTCAATTTCCATGGTACAAATACTCCCACCATTGTCCACTTTAAGATACACCGAAGGATTAATAACTGGCTCAAAAAGTTCTTAGAATTTGGCCAATTAGCTCAGCCACCACCAGCTGGTTTCAAGCACACCACTGACAGTCCCACACTTCCCTAAATATACTTTAATGTTCAGCAACTCTGTGCAGGCTCCTGTTAATTTTTAATAAGCCAGCAAGTGTAGGGAACACCGGCTCCATTTTATAAAGTTGGAATCAGAGACACAGAGAAGGTACATGATAAACCCAAGGTCCCACAACCAGTCATTGCAGAGCCAGGTCTCCCATCTCCAAGGCCAGTGTCTCTCCTCGGTGCCCCGCTCCCTCTCAAGGGCATCGACAAGTCTCTGAGGCCTTGCGGAGACAAGGGTGTCCTAAGAAAGGTGGCTTGAAGGGTGGTTTGTACTTATGTCCAGAGCTGAGTTTCCCCAATTAACAGGATTCTATTACTTGCCTGGGGAGTTCTGTTAAAATACATATTCTCAGGACACACCCCTGGATACTTTGATAGTTTCTGGAGTGAAACCCAGACATGTGTATTTTTAACAAGCAAGTGCATCTTATGATTAGACGAGTTTGAGAAAGTCTGCACTAGGGAAAATTTCTGTGTCAAAACTTCTTGTTAACTTGTAAGAAGTGAGAGATGAGACTACATTTACCATTGTTACATTACATTCTCTTCTAATTATTTTTAAAACATGATTAAACATTTAGAATAAATGAAGCCCCCGAATTTGCCTCCAGGGTTTTCCTTAGGGACTGAGGCATAGAGGCTGTTCCCGAATTAGCCATCGGAGGGCACCATAATGCAGCGAGAACTCTGCCAGTTCTCCGGGTGAGAAGTTCATTGCTCACCTGGGGGCTCTCCAGGCCCAGTGGGAGGCAGGGAGACGGAGCTCAGCCCCTCGTTCCTAGCACACTGTAGCGACCTTGAATTCCCACCTAACCGGCCGCTCAGCCGCTGATCTCCTCCCAAATCGATCGCAGATGACTGACCGCAGGCTAGGGCAGGGCTGGGCTGGGGAGGGAGCCGGCGGCTAGCCCAGGGCGCCTCTGAACACTGGTCCACCGTGCTCACTGCCCGGCGGGTTCCACGGCCTAGCCTGCGCGAGGACACTGCGTGTCGCCTCTGTCACTCCCTGGCCAGGCGCTCTCCCCTTGTGTTTGGGCTCTTTGCTCTCTGGGCTCTTTCTGGCGTCCCCCGAACACCGGCATTGTGCAAGCAGGGTAAGTTCCTGGGCATCAGAAACTGACCAGCGTCTGAATCCCAGTTCTTCCACTTAACTGTGTGGCCGTGGGCCAAAGGTTTGGCATCTCTGAGACTCATCTTCCTTACCTGTACAATGGTGATCCAGCCCCATAGTGCTTTTATGAATAGTGACTGGGAGCATCTCTCTGAAGTTTTTATTTTATTTTATTTATTTTATTTTATTTTATTTTTATTTTATTATTTTATTATTTTATTTTATTTTATTTTATTTATTTTTATTTTATTTTATTTTATTTTATTTTAGCACATTGCCTGGTACATATTAAATATTCAAAAAACAGTATTACTATAATTGTCATTATTATTGTGCAAGCCCAAGAGACCTGTGATTGTTCATATCAGTGAATTTATGGGTGTCTGCCCCTTATTCCTGATTATTAGGGAACATTTTATTTATCAGGCAAGTGTATGGCACATTCTATGTGCCAGACAACTGTGTGAAGTGCTCTGCAGATATTAACTCATTTAATCGTCACATCAGCCCTTTTGCTATTATGCTAAAACAGATAAGAAAACTGAGGCCCAGAGAGGTTAACTGACTTGCCCAATGTTGAATTGTTATTAAGTGGTAGAGCGAGGATTTGCAGGCAGGCAGTGTGGCTCCCGAGCTAGGGCCCCACAGTGTGGCTAAGCGCTTCTGCTCAGTGTGTGGAGGAGAAGGCTGACTGAACCCCTAGTCCTGCACCTGCCGGCTATGAGATCTGGGCAAGCTTATCTACACAGTCCAGCCTCAGCATTAATTGGAAAATGGGGATAATATACCTACCTGGCCGGAGTGTTGTGAGGGTTGGCAATAATGGAGAGCTCTTAGTGCCTGGCATATAGTACGAGCTGAATAAATGATAACTATTTTTATTGTTGTTGCTTTTATCATCAGGCAAGTTAGGATGAGCACAGAGGTAGCTGGTGCATTAAGGACATAGGAATTGTGCCTTGTTTACTCCAGGGAAATAGCACCTATAGAACTGGCTGCTGGCATGGACAGAGGCCTCTCCCAGGATGCCCCATCCCCACCTCCACCGATGAAAGGTCCAGTCTGTGGAACAGATAGAGTACTGGCAGGGGAATTGGGGGGCTCAGATTCTAGCCCCAGACCTGAGTAAGAGGCTGCAGGACTCCGTGCAAGCAGGTAACAGTTCTGCACAAATGAGCTAAACTATATGCCCTTTCCGAGTCTCAATTCTGTGACTGGGGTTTGTGGGCTTGTCACTCTACTGAAGGTCTCAAGATCCTCGCAGAATTCGACCTCCACCTAAAATGAAGCCTTGTCCCAGAGTGGGAGGTGTGCGTGGGGGAGCCAAGGATGGTGCTTCTTGAGGAAGTTGGTGATGGGGGTGGTGAGAGGCTGAGCTGGGTGGGAGGGCCTCACTCACGCCTGGGTTTAATGAGCCCCAGAGCTCTGTGAGGGCTGCTTTTCACCACCTTTTATTTCATTGGACAGGGGGCTCAATAAATCTTTAGTTCTGTGGACTCCCCTAGTGGAATTGTTGAAGAAGAAAGCTCCTTGCAAATGATTAGAAAGCCCTTTGCAGATATAAAGTGCTTATTTAGATGCAAACTAAAACTCCAAGGTGCCTGTGACTCATCTGGTACCTATTGTGCTCCTGCGAAGACGCAGAGGCTTGCCTGTGTGATGGGTGCCATTTGAGAGCCACTTAAACAGCTCCCCAGTGAATGAATTTGGTCGCATTATTCCTGGGCTTCTGGAGGAGGCCTTGAATTCTCACCGCTCTCGTCGTGTTCTCCCCTTCTGACACTTTCTCAGCCCTCTCCCCAAGTTTGTTCTGACCCAGTATGTGGCCCCCTGGGGAGGCAAGGCGCCAAGGGGGCGGGGCCTTGTGCTCACCCACTCAGCTTTGTCATGAAGAAAAGGCTGCTTTAATCCAATTCTTAGGCATCCAGAGCTACGCCTAAGAACCTAATGACAATGGTATTACTTGCTTTCAAAAACCCTTTCATCATTTCCCTTTCTTTCCTATCTCTCACTCCCCTGTTATTACCGACCAGGGCTTCATGACCAAAAAATGCTGAATCCATTTGGTCAAGTTTGTCAGACTGGTGACTAGCATTGTGTGGAGACCAAAGATCTGCATGAATGACTGCATCTCTAATGAGTCCCCCAGTTCTTTGGCATCGCAGGAACAGAATTTAATGCCATGTACCGCAAACCACTGTGGAGGGTAGTGGAGATAGTTTTTGATCAGAACGAAGGCTGATTTTCATTCCTCGAATAGAAAGGAGGCTCCAATTTGAGGCTTGGTGGAGATTTGTTTATATAGAAGTTGAAGCCCAGAACGGAGCACGTTTCTCCACTGGGGTCTGAGACATAAACTGCTTGTCCCTTCAGGTTTCAGGTAGGTGAGTGCTCTGCATCCTGGGAGTTTTCCTGTATGGGACAGAGGCCGGTTCAAGGCTTATTCTTGTAGGTTGTGCCTTCAGTGGTGAAAATAGAAGTGTGCGTTAAGCGTGGTTGCTGCCAGCGACAGGGTGTTCTGTGCAGATTAGTAAAGGCACCCTCTCCCGGTGGACTCAAGGCTGGGCAGGTGAAGCCCTGCTGGATTCGGTGCCCACACCCTTGCACAGGGCACAGCCTGCGCAGCCTCACCCAGCAGCCGCGAGTGTGAATGTGTGTGGATGGAGTGTACCCGCACATTCTCAACCGGGTGGAGAGGAGGGTCAGGAACTAGGAGGCTGGGAAGGGACTGCCCCAGAGCCTCTTCTAGAAGCTCTCTTTATACAGCGCTTCCCTCCCCCTCCAAGGCTCACCTCTTCCCACTCTCTCACATCCTTTCTGAAGGTGTATATTTGTGATGTTAAGCATTGGCTACCTTGAGGCAGGGACCATTGAATTCAGTTTAATATTCTTTGTTCAAGGCTCTGTAATGGACACAGTAAGACTAATGTAAGAATTTAGGGGGTGGAGGCAATGATATAGCACACCAGATGCTGCCTGTTACCTCTGTAAATAACATATTTATGTAATAAATGTCCAGAAATCACATGGTCACAATTTCCCTTCCATCCCCCCTTTTACCAAAAACAAATAAAATAGTAACAGGAAATTTTCTTCCCGACCCAAATCAGCTCACCTTTCATCCTTGTGACCCACCCCTTCTCCCAATTAGGAGTCACAAAAACCCCAAAGGATGGTGGAAAGCAAAAACAGAATCCTCTTTGGTGACCTGGGGGAAAGGAAAGGCTAGGGAAGCTTATAGAACAATCATGTCTCCCTTGTGACAGGGGGTTCTTTTCACCCACAACCATAGCTTAAAAGAAAAAGAGGAAAGAATGTCCCAGTGGGAAGTTGTACTTCCCTGTGACCCCAGTGCCCTCAGATGCAAAGCCTGTGTCTCAAATACAGCAAGAGCAGGTCCCCCACCAGGCCTAGGCCACCCCTGAAGAGGAATCCCAGCCCTACCTGTCGATGCTGATGGCACAGAGGTTCAGGATGCTGGCTGTACACATCATGACATCCAGGGTGACGAAAACATCGCAGCAAAGGCGGCTGAAATTCCAGACTCCACCTGTCACCTGAGCACCAGAGACAAGGATGTTACTGTTCCCCCCAACAAAGGGACAAGCATCCAATCAACTCTATGCTTTCCCTAGGTTGCCCCCTATAGACACTGGCATGCCCTCCCTGTTGGTACATCATAATTACCAAGGGCAGACAGACATCAAGGGAGTGACAGGCTGCCCAAGACTGGTCACACAAAAAAAGAACAAAGTCACAGAATGCTAGAACGTTACAGCTGGAAGGGATCCTCAAATCAATGAGCTCAGTGTTTCTCAGAGTGTGGTCCACAGTGGGGTACTCATTAAAGATGAAGATTTCTGAACCCTGCCTTAGACCTGGAGCCCCTGAATCTTCACTTAAAAAGAAATACCCCCTCCACCCCCAATCACACTCAGGAGGCAACTAAAGCTCATTGTGGCTAAGTGATAGGCCCATAAATGCATGGCTGGTAGTAAATGAGCCTGAGTTACTGCCAGATGTGTGCACTGTGCCAAAGCTGCCTCTCTCCTGAGCTCTCCATCCAATGGAGAGCTCACCATGGACCCAGAAAATAAGCAGAGAAAATGTTTTTCATAAAACCTACCTCCAAAATGAAATTCTATGTAGCTTCTGGTTTTAAATCTTGGAAGCATCCTGGAACAACATCTCTTAAAACCTATGTGCGATAAGTCTGTGCCAGGGTGCCTGCCTTCAACACCAGATCCTGATCACGAGGAGTCGGGGAGAAAGACAGGGTCTAGGTCATGGGAAATGGGCCCAGGTCCTCTCTACCACTCACAGAATCAGTGAGCATGGTTCTGACCTCATGCATTTACACGTGCTTTTCAAGCTCCAGAGCTTCCAGTAACACTTGAAAAAAGTCAGGATTACAGGTAATTTAACTTATATTCTAGCACATTTCTATTTTATTAAAAATTTTTATATAACCTTATTGTACCAAAGGGATCAGCCAGGGAGACTGTCACTGTCAGAACATCCACACAAGCCATTCTTGGGCCCCAGGCTTTTGTTCCTTTGCCAGCTTCCTGCCTGTGGGGCTGCCATTCTTGGGGATCGTGGTTCTCAAGGACAAACCTGTGAAGCTTCATGTCCCTGGCTGTAGCTAGGCATCCTGGCTGGGCAGGCCCAATGGCTAATTAAGAGGAAGGGAGAGTGAAACAGGTACAGTTGCCTCTCAAGTAGCTTCTTAAGGACAAAGAGACATTGTGGAAATGATAGGGCTTAACGATGGTGCTATAGCATTTGATTTTAGCTATATGTGGTCCTCTGCAGACCCTATTTTGAGAAACTCTGACCAAAAATATTTTGTTTAAAAGCAACAATGAGAAGTTCAAACTAGCTCTGATGTCATCATTTTTGCTTATTTGGCTATGGACTTACTTTCTTTTAGTTCAACCATTTGTCTCTATATAAATAAAGGTCTAATATGAATTTGTAGGAATTCTGAGAATAGAAAACTTTTTAATCTTTATTTTATTTTATTTTATTTTTATTCCATCACCATTTACTCTCCTATACCCTCTTCCACCCCCACCCACCCTGAAAAGCTTTTAAAAAGGGAGATGTATAGTCATAATAACACAGTGAATTAAAGGAGCAAGGGGAATAAAAGATGGTCTTGCTCAGTACATAGGATGGTTGTTTGCTGTGAAAGCTTCTTCCAAAAAGTTGAATTTTGTATATGAACTCTCATTTTAATATACATCTACTATGTAATTCCTGTCTTAAGTTGAGGAAAAAACACTTTCCCTTCAAATTGCAAGTGCCTGTTTGTGTCTGTGTGTTGGAGGGGCAAAGTAGATGTTAGAACAACAGAAATTCATTCATTCACTCATTCATTCACTCATTCACTCATTCATTCATTCATTCATTCATTCATTCATTCATTCAAAAGCAAGTAGTTGTGAAGCTCCTAATAGTTCATAGGAGGAGGGTATGGTATGTGTTTTAAGAGGCTTTGCAAAATTTACTTTGGGACTTGTCATTGAAAACCTTATAAGATTATTGGAGAAGCAAGGCATTCTCAAATAAAATAACTAGAGGTCATCGTGAGAGCCTAATATTAATACATTCTAACATTTATTGAGAACTTACTCTATTATTGGGTCAGGGACCCACATGGCCCATTCTAGGATTGCTATAGCTTTAAAACTTCAGATTCTGAAAACAGAATTTGTTTCTTACTGAATGTGCTTCTACAGCTTTTTGAGGACAAAGTACACACTCACTTGATAGGAAATTAAGTGACTATTACTTAACTCCGTAGGAACAGGGACTTGTACTTGTTAGCTGCTGAATCCCTGGCTCCTAGAGCAGTACCTGGTATGCAAGCTTATTCTGAAAGATGAATGGTCTCTGACAGTCTTTATTAATACTAATAGCTAGCACTTATTGAATGCTTTTGGATTGAATTTTTTCTATTTATATTGAATTTATTGGGGTGACACTGGTTAATAAAATTATATAGGTTTCAGGTGTTCAATTCTATAATACCTCATCTGTATATTGTATTGTATATTTGTCACCCTAAGTCAAATTTCCTTCCTCCGCCATTTATCCCCTTTAGACCCTTTCTTACATGCCCCCCTTTCCCTCTGGTAATCACCATACTGTTTGTGTCTATGAGGTTTTTTCTTTGCTTAATCCTTTCACCTTTTTCACCCAGTCCCTTGACACCCCTCCCTCTGACAATTGTCAATAAATGTTAGAATGTATTAATATTAGGCACTCACAATGACCTCTGTTCTCTGCATCTATGAGTCTGTTTCTGTTTTGTTAGTTTATTTTGTTCATTAGATTCCACATATAAGTGAAATCATATGGTCCTTGTCTTTCTCTGACTTACTGAGTCTTGATGTTCTGCAAAGCACTTTATACACATGGTCTCCATTGCCGATTATAATCCTATGAGAGAGGACTACTGTCATCTTCATCGCAGAGAAAGAGACGAAAGCTTAGAGAGGCTCACCACCTTGCCCGAGGTGGCACAGCTCCCAGGGGTAGACAGGGCATTGGAGGGTGGGCTGCTTCATGCCCTGCTATATGGAAGTATCAGGTGAGGAGGGGGCAGCTATTGGAAAGGGGTGGAAATGGGTGCACACCAGGGGAAAGGAGACAACCGTGTGCGCATCAAGGATTTCTGGGTGACAGGCTACATCATCTCCCCTGTAGGGAATGAGATACCCTCCTGATGGCCTCTCTTTCAGGGTTGCAAGAAGCAATGCAAGATACAGTGGTGGCTGCTGACTTTAGGGCCCAGAGAAAGTTCACACCTGGCAGGTTTCTTTGGTACCCTGTTTCTTTAGCTCCTATGGGCCCAAATCCTCAAGCTGTCCTCTGGCTTCCAGCCCCCCACTGTGCCACCCATTCTGGCTCTTTACTTTTTTCCTCCAATTCTGCCACCAAAATTTCCATTCTCTCCTTGGGCTCAGCTAAGAGACAGGAAGAAAACAATCTGATTAGCTGATTAAAGTAAGGTGCCATCACCGAACCTTCCCCAGAGTTTACTCATTAAAATGAGTCTCTAATTGGTGGGGTGTGTAATGGAAATACATATATTTTTAACTAGAGTCCTCCCCATCAAGTGAATAATAGTAAGTGATGAATAAAGAGCAGTGAAGGGTCAAGAACATGTAATTCTCATAGCAACCCAATGAGGTAAATATTATTCCCAATTATAGATGTCAAAGTGGCAACTGAGAGGGCTTGAGTAATGTGCCTAAGGATACATAGCTCATAAAAGGAGCTGGCATTTCAAGCCCCCAATATTAACCATGACTTTATTTTGCTTCTCCAAGGTGAGCAGCTTAACACTCTGCTTCTGGGAAGGGTACAATTTCACTCCATTCTAATCGCATAGGAGGAAGAGGAGCTGGCGTTTGTTCATCCATCCACCCATATGCCCAGTGTTTATTGAGTGCCTGTTATATGCCTAATGCTGTGCTTGGATAGGCGCACTGAAATGAATGAAACCTGTTTTTGTCCCCAGGGCCTCAGAATATAGTGTGTGCATGTTAGGGGAGAAATGTGTGAATAGGTGTGGGCACATCGAGGGCCCAGGAGATAGGCACTAAGAAAATAGCTATAATACAATGTGATAAGTGCTGACAGTAAGATAAGTAGAAAGTGTTGGAAGAACTCAAAAGATAAAGTGATTTTTGAAATTACAGCAGGAAAAAAAAGGCCAAAAAAAATCTGATTGATTTAAGGCTCTTTAGAGACATGACTCTACCTTTCCCCTAAATTTTAATAAATAACTCACTTCAGAATAATAGAGCAGCCAGGTGTTACGCTCACGTGCTAATGAATGTAACTGTCTCCCTGTGGCAATGCAGGAGGTGGGGTAAGCAAGGAAGTGTCTTCAGGTACAGCAGCTGGCTACTGATTTTCAACAGGCACAGCCAGTGCAGCATTTCCCAAATCACCCGAGGCTCCAGCTAAAATGATTCTCGGGCCCCACTCAGAATAATAAATCCCTCCAGTGATTCCTCCTGCTCGGAGGTTTGGGAAGTGCCTGTCTGGAGGGTGTGTGTGTATGTATATTTGGGGTGTGTGTGTGTGTTTGTGTGTTACATTATCTTTAGAAATGCTTGTCCTAAAGCAGGGCTCCTTAAGCATTCTTTGTTCCATGGGACCCTTTGGCCTCATGGTTTCCTTCTCAGAAGAATGTTTTTATGTGCATACAATAAAGTACAATGGATCGCAAAGGATACAGTTATACTGAAATATAGTTACCGAAGTATTTTAAATATATGTGCTTCTTTAATAATGCATTAAATGACAAGACCTAGCGGCAGGGCCAAAATCCTATAAAATTTTATTTCAAAGTCCTGACGAACGTAAATGGTATTTCAAGGTGTGCACAACTACAATGAGACTTGGAAATATAAATATCTGTGATTTCTACTGGTGACATTAAGGGTTTCTTCTGCCGTGGGTTGATGCCTACGTTCATAATTGATGGAAGTACTAAATTTCAGCTTAGTGAAAATAAGGAGGTAATTTTATTTGCAGC